TCACATCTAACTTAGCGAAGGTTTGAATGGTATGTGCAAACGCTAGCGGCAAATGCGAAGTTCGCGCCTGCAAGTGCCTATGAACAAGCACTAATACGGATTGTAGTCAAATATTTTGGTATCTATCACAAGCGTTTGCAGGTCTTCGAAGAAATTCTCACCTGTCACAGTCGAGAAACCTTTTTGAATGGAGCTCTGTCCATTTTTTAATACAAAAATCCAATAATAAATTTTATCACCGAGCTTCAATTTGGGTTTATTTTCCTGATACACCCATATACCGTTTTCAGGTAAGGATATATCTTTCCAATATTGACCGGCTTCTAAACCATCCAGTGGTTTGTTCACATTAATGTGAACGCCATAGAACGAGGCTCCGTCGTCTAAAAATAAAGTTAAGCAAAGTAAAAAAAACATAGCCTATGTTTTTTTATTAATTTTTAATTTCACGCGAACGAAGTCGCGAGCAACAGCTAGTGTATTGTAAGTGTTAATAGTGTTGTAACTGCGGGACTTTTAGATAACGGAATGGGCATGTTTCCTAATTTTTGGAATTGCTTTTATTTTGTAGATAAACCAAGTCCAAACACGAAAAAATATATACGCAACATTTTATTAAAAAACACGCAAGTAAAAACAAATTGTCGAAAGCCCTCCAAAACTCCTCATGACGTCACACGACTCGACGTCAAACTAACCTCCTGTCGCGGTCTGTTAAAGTCAATAACACAACTGACATCTAAATGAAAATCTTTCTATGCAAATCAACCCTCACGTTGGACCTTTGCGGGATGATTTTCGTAAAATCCTTTCTTAACGCTCATCTTATACAGTAACTAATAGAAACTTTGACGCAAAATTTTAAGGCTGGTTCCAGTGGTTAGGGATTATTAGTTATTAAAGTATGGGATATATTAATCTGAACAATTTGGATGTGCAAATCGTTATATCTCGGAAACTATGGCTCTTATGAAAAAAGTATATGTGGATATTTAATAGGCAATTTCATGATCTACAACTTCGTTCTAGTCAACTTTTCGATAAAGCTAACCATTCCGCTGAAATACGCGAAAAAGTAATTTTTATGACCTTTGACTTTGAATAAGTCAAAAATCGCACCCGTGCCCGTGTCCAATAGTATACCAAAAAAACTTTTATAAGTTGTACAAACATTATCTCAGAATAAATAAGGCGCAATTGTGCGATAGCTGAGTTATCACCAATTTTGAGGGCGGCTCCATACGAATTTTCAGAGAAAACATTCTAATTGCGCAAAAACATCGACACAAGATAAATAAGGTATGCATTTACTGATACAAAGCACATTCAAGCAAAAAAAGAGACATTTCAAACATCAGATGAAGTTTTCTATGGAGCAACTGTATACAGCCCAATGTGCGGCGCGGTGCAGGGTTCATAGTTAAGGACGCGGCCTTCGAAGACCGACGAGACTTAACTCATGCGATCTAACCTGCTCGTTGTTTGCGCGCGCCTACTTCTTCCCCCCAAAAAACGCGAATTGTCACTCAAACCGCTTGGATGGATGCATTAGTTATTTGAGTTGAGTTTTTTAAATGTTAGTGAAATTAATGATAATATGTTTTTGTAGAAGTATTTCGGCAATGGAAAGCCGATTTATAAAACCGAGAAGTTATTTAAGTTAAAAGCTTAAAATTGAACTTACTTGGTATGGTTACTCTGAATCCTTCGGGATAGATCGCTTCGATGTTCAAAACAGGAACTGTATTACTGACCACTGTTGGAAATACACATGCACTAAAAAGTAATAATTTCTTAATTAACATTGTAGTGACGTCCAGCTCACACGACAGCCAAGTGCAGTATGAGAAACTTGTTGTTTTAAATGCCAAATGTTAATGAATTTGATGTCGTTTATTATATAAAAGAACCAGTCTATAGTGAAGAATCAATATTGCATCAACTCGTGAATTTTCCTCGTATAACTAAGCAGATTTTACTATTTATAAATTTACTTCTTCTACAAAATCGATTACAAATATAAGTTCAGAAGAGCATCATACTAATATTATTTATGCGAAAGTTTAGATGGATGGATGGATAGAAGGATGGATGGATGTTTGTTAGAGTTTGTAGCCTAAACTGCTAACCGGATATCTATGAAATTTGGTATAGATGTAGATGATAGTCTGGAAGAACACATAGGCTACTCACTTTTGTTTTTTTTTTAATTCCACGCAGACAGAGTCGCAGGCGAAATCTAGTAAACTATAAGTGTTAAAAAGGCGCCCGTGCGAACGGGGTCTAAGGACTAAAATAACACTATCTCTGATCAGCTCGTGTCATACGGTGTTGGTGTTCACGTCAGAGTTTCTAATCTCTTCCATTTCGCTGTCTATGCACACTTTCCACCTTTTTTTTAGTTCTGCCTCTAGATGACACGGTAATCTTACTTCTTACAAACATTATAAATGCGAAAGTTTAGATGTATAGATGGATGGATATTAGTTACGATACTCCAGAACATCTCAAAGATGGCACTTGAATTGTCAACGTCATAATGTTTATATTAGTTGATACGGAATTAAATATAATCATGTATAGGGTCAAACATTTGTACCGCAGAGCACCTACTGCGATAATTTCTTTTATCTTAACGTCTTTGGTTTTTTTTATTCAGTTTGAATTTAAAAAGGAAAATTAAGATTATTTCAAATTATAATTGATTATTATTACCGAAGCTAGGATTTTGGCGGAGATGTTGGATTCTGAATTTTAGTAAAATTAGAACGTAAAGTTTTTATGAAAGTGACATTTTCGATAACTCCAATTCCTCTTAAAATTTTACTGAAAATAGTCTCTTTCATTAAATAAAAAAATACCCTTATTGCCTTCTGATTTTATAGACATAGGGAAAAAAAACGCAAAACATGTTTTACAATCCATTTTTAATTGCGCCATAAATTGCTCTTACTTGACCTTGTATTGTCATCAAAAAGTGTCAAAAGTCGTTTAAGTTTTTTTTATCGAAACGAAACTTAAAAACATTATTGTAATGTAATGCTTGTTTTGACATAAACGATCTTATTAATTACTGATACACATAATGTTTATTAGTAACTTTGGTGCCTTAATGTAAGTTTCTGATACTAAATGTGGCGCCAAAAATTGCCAACAATAAAACCTTTTCGATGACAATAAATTATGCAAAAAACTTATATCTTTGCAGTGTTATTTTCAATATTGTTTAATACAGAGATGAAAGATTTAGGTTGTAGACAAAACATTGAATAAATTTAAATCATTTTGTGGAGTAGTAGTTTCCATGCCAGTTACTAGCTCATGTTGGTGGCGCTATGCGTATAGGTATGTCAGTAAAATGGTTTGATAGCATGTTCACGAGATCGTATTAGACGAGAAGTGTCTGTTGGCACACCCTTGAATCTCTGAATATCCATACCGGTAGCTGTCAAATCAAATATCGTGCTACTTGCATACTGGTATGCCAGTTGGCGTGTACAATGCCTGTAAGTAGCACGAACCAGTATATTACAAGTGTTCCAGCTACTGGCATTTGTATTTCCAGTTTTTAAAGTACAAAATGATTTAATTTCAATTCAATTTATAAAAAACTACAAATACATAGAACTAATTACTTACAATATTTTGTATAGTTTTTAAGACTTTTATATAGATTCTACGTTTTAAAACGAAACACAGTTAACACTATGCCTACATTTTAAAAACATCGATACTTAAAAACTAGATACGGCATACTGTCATTTTTTTTAAAGAAACGTTTATTTTCCAAGAATAACGTTCCAAATTTGAATTAACCATGACATTAACATAGTAATATTTTAGTGTACATTTAAATCTATTTAACAAGGCAACATAAAAGCAGGAGGAAACTTCTTATTAATAAATATGATTTTTTTGCAGGCAAAATCTATCCTAGTCACCGCAAGAATTCTGCGAAAAGTGCGAGGGAGACAGAAGATCCAACACAGTGCTACCTTACTAAAATATTCGAGGAAAATGAAATCACTAATGCCTTAAAGGCTCAATAAACTTTTTTTATCTTTTATCCATAGTCTTTAAAAATTTATTTAAATATTCCGTAACTAAAGATTAATATATAACTAAGAGGCAATCATGGCCCAATTTTAGCCATAAGACTAAATAAAACAACTTAATAATCTACAATATTCCATCAAAGGTAAATGTAATTATTATGTTTTAAAATACGCTATTAAATGCCGAAAGATATCCATAGAATATACATCCACGTACAAATAAATCGACTACAGATTATATTTTACGAATGTGATAAAATTATTAAAATTGTACAGAAGCCTTTCATTCGTCTATCAAGCACCATTAAAAAGTATACTTTTTAAGACCACAAATATTCAATATTAAATAAAAATCATACTAAATTGAAATCTATGACCTACAAATTAGAGTTCATTCTACGCCTGTCTGTTGTAAGGGACCGCGAGGAGTGTTCGAAATTTGAAATTTGACATTCGCATTCTTTAAATATGTTATTTTTTTAATGTCTTAGACACAAGGCTATTGGCCAAAATGGCTTTGTTAATATAATTGCTTTATTAATAACGATTAGAGAGCTAAATACATGGTTCAAAGATTTTAATTATAATAATAGTAAATATGACAATAAAAATGAATGCTTTATATGAATGATTAAATAGGAGAGGGAAATTTTAACTATTTTAACCTTTTAAGAGAAAACTATTTCTTAAATAGATAAATAAAATATTTATATAATATAAAACATTAATACTGATTTTATAAACTTATTCAAATAAAAGAAATTTCTACAATCATTGCGTTTCATTTATTTCAAAATTTACATAACTTTGTGTTTACTCGCAAAACACTAGCTTGAGTTAATTTCAATTTTTTATATTTTTGCAATTTCACAGGTAAATTTTTAACTTTGGTGTTGCTAGTAAAAAATAAAATTTCCATACATTAAATAATTTGCCAATGATTTTTTTTATTATTTATAGTCGAAATAGTTAAGGAATAATACTAAAAATTCTTCGACTGGTATACATTTATTTACAATTGGTCAATTATTAGTGTTGCCACTATAAAAAACATTGATTTACCAAATACCAGTATTACATTGAATTTATGAATTATTTCAGACATTTTATTTAGTGAAATGTCAAAACATGTCACCACTGGTATAATTTTTATTAATATAATAAGAAAGTAACAAAAACGATTTATTCGACTGGTATTTTAGATATTGTAATAATTTACATCAAATCAATATTTAGGTTTATAAAAATTCTAACTTTACCAATACTAGTGAAATTACATAGATTAAAACTTTTTTTTTGATATATTTATGAGCTATCACAAATTCCATACTTAGTATCATAGAGATATGCAACTAGCAACACTGTAGAATAACCTAACCTCATTATAATAAGTATTTGATACTATAGGGTTAATATTCATTACTAAAGACATTTAAATAAATATTTCTACTCTAACATTTAAGCTAAACAACTGTTTTCTATTTGAATTACTACGAAAAAACGACATTTTTCTAAAACACACCACTCTTTCATGATTCATGCGAGAAAGAGATAAAAAGTCGTCAAAGAAAATGAAAAATAATCATCATTCAAGTCTCACTTATTCTAACTTAAATAAAAACATTCACAAAATAATTTCCTACACATTCATAAGCGTAAAAAATAAATTCACAAAATTACACTTACTTTAAGCGATTGTTAGCATTACTTAAAATATACTATTTAATAAGATGAGTTACTTTTATAAATTAGGTTTTAAAACATTTTAAGTAGCACTAACAAACTCTATAATAGACAAAAAAAGATTTATTAAATGCTAAAAAATACATTAAAAACGTGACAAGTTTAATGGCAACACCAAACACGATTGTCATGAACATGAGGCAATAAATACAATAAAAACTAACCACCAAAGACAAAATAAAACACCTAAAAGCGAATAGGAATATCCATTTTGCCATCGTAAATAGAAAATGGCGGCGTACGCGCGGTTTCACAACTGTCAAACTGACAGCCGTCAAGTTGCATTACAACCTCATTCGCGCGCACTTTATAAACCACTGAATCGAAACGGCCAGTATCTTGACAGGCGTCAGAGTGACGGGTGCCCGCGCGTCGCTGACAGTTGTCACCGTGACAGGTGCCCGCGTGTCGCTGACAGCTGTCACCGTGACAGGTGTGTTGCGCGCCTACTGGTCCTTCAGCGTCTCGTGTCATACGAAGTCCATGGCGTCGTGTGCCTTCGTCGAGAACTTTCCATAGGACCGCTTCTTGATCGTGCGCTCGACCAGCTTCTTCACCTCGCTCAGGATGAACACGCTCGACGTCAGGCATACCAGGAATATCAGATCTGAATTCAAATAATTACATCGTTTACTTAAAGAATCTTCAAAATGTTTTATATACTAGCTTTCGCTCGCAACTCCTTCCATAGAATAATAAAAAAACGAAAGTATGTGTTCTTCCAGACTATCCTCTTTATCTATACCAAATTTCATCGAAATCCATTCAGCCGTTTAGGCTACAAACTCTAACAAACATCCATCCATCCATCCATTTTGCATTTATAAAATTAGTAAGACTAGTAAGATGGCATGATCTGTATACATTAGTTATCTATTTCTAAAGCTATAGTTGGATGATAACTGTTCGACATGTAGAAAGTAATTTAGTTATTTTTACTTAATCAAAACATAAATAAAACCTTAACTATGTAACTATTAAATCGAATTTACGTTGACTGTCGTGTGAAAGGCAATAATTGTGTAAGACAGCGGGCAACATTCCATACCGTGTCCAGTGAGGGCCTCAGTCTGGAAGACGCGCTGCAGCGGCGGGAAGTAGACCACCAGCATCTGCCCCACCAGGCTCAGCGTCACCGCCACCAGGAACATTCTGCAATAACAAGTTTCTGTCTAGTCATGTGGGTATCACTAGGAATTCGTAATTTAAGCCCTAATAGCCTAATCTCTGTGAGACTGCCGATCTTAATAATAACAAAGTTACATTAAATGTTTAAAAATAATTAAATCTAGCTATTAAACTTAAGGAGTAAATTGGAAACCTTCATGTGGGAAAGGGACAAAAACTACAAGCTACCAACATTAAGGAATCAAGGTTATTATGGTAACTGTAATTTTGACATTTCCAATTGAGTTTTAGAAATACCGTAGAACCTCGATAACTCAAACCTCTATAACTTAAAAAAATAATATGTTCTCTTCCCATCAGAGCCCAAAACCTGTACAACATAGACCCTTGATAACTTAAAACCTCTATAACTTAAAATATTTTGTGTTTCCCTTGTTTAACTTATCGAGGTTCTGCTGTATAAACAATAATAAGAAAATTATTTGCTGTGTATGTATGTTTGTTTTTTATGTAGGATGTATATATTTGTTACTGTTATTTTATATGTATTAATTTCCCTTGTGTGTTGTCTAGCTTCTCCTGTCCTACTGGTTTGCCTGTAAGAGATTACTCATAGGGCCGCCCTTGCATGTTTTTTTGTATTAGTATAATTTAAACATTTGTATTTTAATATTTGTGCCTAAAGATTCAAATAAATAAATAAAATAAAAGATTTTATAATTTGATGCGGATGAAGCCGCACGGGAACAGCTATAGTATATAGATATATGAAACTAACTTATTTGTGAAGAATCCAACTTGGAATATGGACTTGGTCTGCGAGCGGCAGGAGAGCGCGTTGAACATGTCGAATAACACGAAGCATGTAAACGTCATCGTCGTATCTCGCGGAGTTATCTTGTTGTCCGACATCTGTTTATATAAATATAAAAACTTTATTATATTATTGGGTTTTAAATGATTAAAAGTGTTGCTCTGAAAACAAAGAAACAACATTTAAGTTTCTATTTTATCGTTTTTTATAATATGCCATTCTTCTAAGGTGGCTTCTAAAATAATAGACAACATTCATTCAACCCATAGACAATCGTTTAGAAACCGTATTTAAAATCAGTAATAAAATAAAATTTTAATTTCTTTACATAAATACACTGAATATGTATTCCTCTTCACAAATGGGAAAATAGATTGGCTCCTGCAGCACAGGGAACCTAGTGCAGGAGCCAAGGATCTCATGACATGTAAAATGAAAAAAAATTAACACTTAACGATTAAATGGATTTATTATGTAAAAAGAAGCCTCGGTACCTAAGAGGTTTGAGCACTTGATTTGTATACTAAGTCTTGGGTTTGAATCCCGTTGTACCAAACATCCATCCATCCGTCTAAATTTTAGCATTTATATTAGTAATAAATAGCAAACGAACAATCTGGCACATAAATTTGCCCGAAATGGCAAAACGACCGCTGCCAACAGACATTCGCAATAAGAGATGCGTTGCCTACCCTTAATCGACGGAGAAGTACATAAAGAGGACATTTTATGTTCCTGTGAGTCTCCTCCACAGTCAAATCTTTTCATCCCTTCCCCTT